TTCACTTCTTACACAAAACACTATGTATTTCACTCGCCACAACATCCTAGATGTTGTTGTCAGAAACATTGTACTTCTTAATATGGTACATATTATCAAGAGTACATAATAGACATTTTCTATTATGTATACTCTTGATATTATCAAGAGCTATATATTAATACAGAGGTATTATGAGCTCTTGATATTATCTATGATAATGACTATAGTACTGATATAAAATACGAAAAACTACTAAATGTTTCGGTCAAAGCCCACCACACATTGAATTCGCGGGCGATTTAGTACATTATTTTAGCAGGTTTTATGAAGCAACATGATTGAGTGACGGGACATGTTCGTCGCATTACACGGATAGATACACACACGCGCGGAAATATGCTATTCGATAACTGCTATTGATTGGCGCGTATAAATCTATAGATCAGTTAAAAAACACGCGTCAGAGCACCAGCACAGAGGATCCAGTCTCCGACGTGAGAGAGGTGGACCTCGTTGTGGTAATCGACAGCGTGGGAACACGCAGCTTTCAAGACATTAAAGATACAGTAAAGGTATGTACAGTAGGTAGGATAGCGAAAGTGCGATAACCCGAAGTAGGTGGCATGCTGCGTGTAAGTCGCTGTTAGACAACAATTAAACCAGTGGCGTAGACAGGTCCTCAGTTGTGGGGGATGATTTTGCTATAACTTCCATCGCAAAGGATACAAATTAAATGTGTGTGCGAGTAGCGCACACCGCGAGCTCCTTAGCGCGAAGCCCAATTAACGGGTGGGGTCCAGAAGAGAGCCCTCGCCCGGCGTCCAGGGGGCGGAGCCCCCGGGAAGCTTTTGGATGTTAGCAATTTAGAACCTTCAAGATGGCCGTTTTTGAGGGAATTGAAATTGTAAGTGCAATTTAATATTTGTGAATTCTAGAGTTATTATTTTCTTTGGATCCCAGAGGTATTGGATCCCAATTATCAGAAAGTGAAAGGTACTCAGACTTGTCAGACACTCATTGATGCTTATCCAGATGACATGAACAACACTTTGTCTACAGAGCTTTAGCAGTTCCATTCATATGTTCTTCATAAGTTTAAAACAACCAAGAAAACATTTCCGGCGATCTACATTTAAAAAATTTCTGGGGGAGGACTCCCATACCCCCGCCTGTTTATCACCACCATCCTTGAAATCCTACATAAATTTTTGTACTGCTGCAACCTGCATTGTATATCAGATTCTGGTCAGACAGGTCCACAACTAAAATGGACTGGGTCCGTAAAGGAGGGGGGCACCAAGATTGGTCAGTGCTTATAGTGCAGTGACCGAAGCTGAAAAAGGGCTCTATTTAAGGAGATACCCCTACCGGAGGTATAACAAGCTGGGACTGGTCTCATTTTAACCGTCTGGATCCCTAGCTTATGAAAAAATGTTGTAGTTGCAGCAACCTTGTACAACATGCCGAATTAACCCTTTGTTAACGGTAACATCTGAAAAAATGTCATTTTCAGTTACTTGCTTATTTTATGAAATCAGCCCCATTATATTTTATAATTGATGGTTATATCAATGTATTTCATTAAAATAGATATGTAGCAATGTATTTGAGGCAGTTTTATGCTGCTAAGGGGGTTAAGGGGCCAAAATTATACCCCAAATTTGACATTTTTTGGCAATTTCGACCAAAATAATGTATATTTTCTTGCACTACTAAACCAATACATGTTATCACTGTGTCAGATCTGACTGTATTCATGGGCCTAGATGTGCTATTGATAAAAAAATCAGTTTCAGCATGGTAAACGGGTACAACATGGTACATTAACCCTGAAATGGCATTTTCAGTTAGTTGCTTATTTTATGAAATCAGCCCCATTATATTTTATAATTGATGGTTAATTTAAGAAAGTTGCTGACTGAACATTGAAATCAATGAATCCGGTGAATGTGAATTTACCAGTGAAGATGGAAGTGATGTGGATCCGGATAGTGTCGTCCTTCATCGAGCTGCTGGTATCCTTCGCAGTGCAATGTCTGGGATAACCTTTCAAACTAGCCACTATGCTCCAAGCAGAGACTTGAATGTACGACAATGTAAGAACTTTGTTCCAGAGACATTGTACAATTTCATAGCATGGTGCACTTCGAAGGAATCCTTTGACAATGTTAGACACTGTGACTCAAGTGATGCTGACATGAGTGCTTGGTATCTGTCACAGTATCATTTCTCAGTCCTGTAAGACGCAAACACCCATTACATTTGGCCTTGGTGTTCAGATGCACCATGAATATGGGAGTAAGGAGCTTATAGACGTTCTCAGTACAGTGGGATATTCCATAAACTATAATGACGTGAGAAAGTTCTTAACATCATTAGCTCTTGATCAACTTTCAGTACCATCTAAAGTGCAGGTTTCTCGTGGGATTTCACAGTTTGATCCTAGAAACTTTGAATCAGTCGTTGATGCTGCCATTGACAACTTTGATCATAATGAGGAGACAGTTGATGGGAAACGCACTACATATGCCATGGCTGTTGTGTTGTACCAACGATCTCCACTCAGTCATGATATGTCCTTGATTCCTTGTACAAAGCAGAAATCCTTGGACACTGAGCAGAACAAAGAACAACACACCAAGGCTACAGCAGGTCTGCAAAGAAGCCATAGCCCACTGTAACCTATCAAGTTGAGGATGAAACGTCGGATAAGATCATAATGCAAGATTTCATATGGCAAGTGGCAAGGACCTCTGGAGATGGTGAATCTAGCATTCCGGCGTGGAGTGGATTCAACGCCCTCGTCAGTACCAAGACTGTCCCCGTTACTACGATACGATATCTACCCTTCATCAATGCCTCACCATCTGACTTGTCAACCATTTTTACCACTTCGTTGAGGCTAGTTGCTCATATCTGAGGAGTTGGGGCATACTCATTACAGCAGACCTTGCCATCTACAGCAAGGCACAGCGGATTCTGTGGAGCAAACCGGAACCACTGGTGGGCAAAGTAACGATGAGGCTTGGAGGAATGCATCTGATAAGGGTTTTCCTGGCGAGCATTGGCAAGATATTCGGAGATGGTGGACTTCGATCGGTATGATAACGTGTCATCTATCAAGACCACAGAACGCGAGCGGTGGGGTTCTTCCAGTTTGTTACCTACTTATAAGATCCAAGAGAGCAAACAAGTATCTAACTACAGAAGGTTTCTCAAGGGAGTCGGAAACAAGGCAAGCCTTGCGAATTACATCTCACAGTATATCTTGGAGAATGCAGAAGAATATGTTCCCAACGACAAATTCATTATCTTGGCAGGAGGATTTAGTGAAAGAACTCTTGTGAAGGTGGTTGCTCCATCTGGAGCGTCATCTGTTAAATCACTGTACAGTAACCAGGAGGAGGCCGATACACGTATGATCCTGCATGCCTCTGCACTATCAAAGGACCATGATAGGATCATAACCGCTGTGACGACACAGATGTCTTGGTCTTGCTGGTTTACTATGTCAGCAGAGGACAACTGGCTGACTATGTGTACATGTATGCTGGTAATTCAGGAAAGGAAAGATGCATTCCTGTTCATACAATTGCGAATGAACTTGGCCCAACAATATGCGAGTGTCTCCCTGCTGCTCATGCCCTCACAGGATGCGGCACCACATGTTCAATGAACAGGATAGGAAAGAAAACGGCGTACTCGAAACTGGTGAAACATGCGGACAGTCTGACAAACCTAGTTGAAATGTACTGAACATTCTGTGCTCAAATGTCCAGAAGTGGTCGCCAGTGTAAAACCACTTGTCAAACCTAGGATCTTTGATTTACATGAC